CGTGTTCCGTCCCGCTTTGGTAGGGATGCGAGGTCAATGGTCTGACGACTACGGCATGCACGACTATGAGTAACCCCCCCCCCGCCCCCGCCCCCCCTTTTCTGCCCGCCCCTCCTCGACAGAAAGGAACCTCCCCCCCCTGGTAAAAAACGGCGATCCCCCCCCGTCCACCCTCACCGGATTATCTCCAAATTTTGGCGAACTTGGAGGCAAAGGAGCCTGGCCCTCGATATGCTGGTCTCGTCGCGACCCTTGATGAACCCGGTCACCCGGGCGTCGACAGCCGAAGAAAGCGAGTGGCACATGAACTGGGGCGCCGCGTCGCCAAGCGGAAGAGAGAAAAGAAAGAGTTACGAGAAAAAATACAAAGTCGAACGAACCACCAGGTGAGATAGTCCCGTGTGTCGGGGGGGGGGGGGTGATGGATGGGAGCGATCGGTGGCGTATAGGTCAGAATGTGGTCGCCACATTGGGTAAGAATAAAATCTCGGAAACATCCTCAGAAATATTTTCTCCCCGTTCCGACTCTTTGACTGAATGTCATTCTTCGAATGGCAGTTTCTATATGTAAGTATAATTCGGAAAAGAACAACAAGAGGCGGGCAAGAACAAAACCATGGCCACCTATTTTCTGCCCTTCCGTTCTTCGACTGCAATGCATTTCTTCGAACCACAGGGCGGAGTACTCTCAACAGCAAGCCAAAGACGACAACGCCACCGCCACCAACAAGCCACGCGTCCGCCTGCCAAAACCCCCCAAGGCAAGACGAACCCCATGCCCGACGCGCGCACACCATTCACACCTGAGCACGGAGCGCTCCTTCTCTCGTGGCGAGGCGGGGGTACGGCAGCAGAGAAGCCACCAGGGCGGTGACCCCCCCCTCGATGTGGACCCGAACGAACGTAGCCACGGAGCCCCACCAGGAGAGGGTTAGCCCGTCGTCGGACATCTTTCCTAGGACAAGGAGCGTCACACCCACGCAGCCGAATTTCTTGCCGAGGGACGTCAACCGTCGACTCCTGCGAGGATCCGCGAGAGCAACAGCAGCAGTAGCAGCAGCAGCAGCAGAAGCAGAAGCAAGTGACATGATAGCGGCGTTTGTTTTTTTCTGTGTGTTGTGTACGAGGGTGCGGGTTTGTTGCACATCATCTAAACCCCTTCGGTTGCTGATATCTGCCCACGAACAAGGATTTCATGTGGACCGTTTTCTTTTGTAATGTGCTCGAATGGGAACGGTGGTCTGAGGTTTTGAGAAAAATAATCACAAGTGAGGCTGGTGAATCCACGTTGTTGTGTGTGTTGGGCTGAGGAAAATAAAACGAACCTCGGGGCAATGAACAGAACTTCTTGTGCAAGCGGTGGCGGGTTCTGTATTAGCAGACACGTGGATAAATCCGGAGGGGCCCCTTCTACCGTAGGAGCAAGAGCAAACAACGATGTGCTCCCTTTCTCGTATCTCCAAGGGGATTCGTAGTGAGAATGGTGGTCCATGGCTAGACAACACCGCAACCGACGATAAATCCGCTCGACCCACCCACCCATGTCATCCGTACGCAAGGGAGTAAGCACAAGATGCCGAACACCCGCAGCAGGGTGCAGCGCACCCTTCATGCGACTCGCCGAATACCTCGCGACGCTTCGCGCTTGGTGATGTGAGCGCCTGGTCCGGTGAGAACCCGGCGTGCTCCGTCCCGGCTTTGTAGGGATGCGAGGTCAATGGTCCAACGACTAAGGCATGCACGAGAATGAGTACACCCTACCCCCACCCCCACCCCCCCGTCCCACCCGTCACCCCGTTGAATCTGACATCAGCGTCCACGCGCGGCATCTCACCTGAGGACCAGAAAGACTGCCGCGAAAAATCCCGCTCCCGCGGGGAAACGCCCCCACTGCATCAGCCACCGCGGAAGTATAGCGCAGATCGCCCCAACCAGAGCTCCGTGTGTCATCATCTGCGAGGTGCATGCGTATTCGGTCGCAGCGTACGTTAGTTTCAGAAAATATACATAAAAAGCACAGAAAGACTGCCCGTTCGTTATTGTTCATCGCATGATTGTGATAATGCTTGGCATACCGTAAGATAACACACCACACCCCGTGGACCGATTCTTAAATCTCGAGTACTCCACGACCAAGAGGATGCATCAATCAAACGAGGCGTTATCGTCAATTTCTCGATGAGGCGGTTCCCACAACGCCGTTCTCGGCACCCTCACTCTAATCTTGCTGCCCGCAGAGTAATCGAGTTTTAAGAATTGGTCCGAGGGATGTGGTATCTCGTAACGCAGAGCAATCGAGTTTTAAGAACTGGTCCAGGGGATGTGGTATCTCGTGTCGCCCTAACCTGGTGTTGCTGGGGGTTAAAAATAACGCATGCCACCCGGGTATTGTACGGAATTGTGTGTAGCGCCGGGGGGCCCGGGGGGGGAAGTTGGAGCTTGGAGAGCGAACGACGAGTTGACATACATGCGGCTGAATCGGGGGCGCTACAGCTCCCCGACACAGCAACAGCCGAAACCGGTGGTTTCTGACGCATAATGCGTTGCGGGGGCGTCGGCAACCGCCCCAGAAGCCGGCATCGGCCCCCTTCCATAGCAGTAGTGGGCGGCACCGCGTCTGTTTTCAAGGCAGCGGGCGGTGTCGCCGTTTTCACAGCGGCGGCGGGCGGTTGGGGCTTTATCCTTGCAGCCGGCACCGGCTGCGGGGGTATCGGATGCAACGGCAAGCCGGCCACCGCAACCGGCGGCGATGGGTTCGCCAGCGGGTCCAGCTGCTGCTGCTGCTGCTGCTGCTGCTGCTGCGAAGAGCTTGACGGAGAGACATGGGGGGTCGCGCCACTACCAGGGACGCAGGCACGTGCACTATGGTGCGCCAGGAAATAGCATGCCGTTGTTGCAGCAGCCGTAGGGTGTCGATGGGTTCGGATTTCTGTACCCGTTGCAGACGTCTTTGTTGGGCCCTGGTAGGCAGCCGTGGCCAAGGCCGCTGCCACAGGACCCGATCACAGCAGTAGCCTCTGCTCACATGCCCTGCGCCACTATAGTCCAATGCTACCTCATACGGCTGCGCCGCCAGCAAAGGAGGCGCAGCCTATCTTCTACCCTTCTGAGCCCTGAGCTAGAACGTGCACGTCAGATCTTGTGGCGCATCTCTCTCTCTCTCTCTCTCTCGAGCTCTTCGCAACAGCAGCAGCAGGACCCGCTGGCGAACCCATCGCCGCCGGTTGCGGTGGCCGACATGCCGTTGCAACCGGTACCGCCGCAGCCGGTGCTGGCTGCAGAGATGGAACCGCAACCGCCCGCCGTCGCTGTGAAAACGCCGACACCGCCCGCTGCCGTGAAAATGGAGGCGACGTCGCCCACCCCTGCTGTGAAAACGGAGCCGATGGCGGCTTCTGGAGCGGTGCCGAGTCCTCCGCATTTTGCCTCAGGAACCGCCGGTTATTGTCATGGCCCCATTTGTATGATCATTGAATGGGCGCTGCATGGATAGTTGGAATTTCGTTGGATGTGGATATTTGTCATTGAAGTGGCATTAAGGAACAGAATCCCAGCCCCGCCCTTGCTCTCTGCGAGTGAGCGCCGAGCGGATCTTGTCTACGACGGCGAAGACAAGAGATCAAACAACAACTACTGTGCGTACCTCGAAGCTAGGAGCAGCGGACCTGCCCCCTTACCATTTATTTCTCTGTTCCTCCGTAACAGGTGCGTGTGATGCTGTATTTGTCTCACGTTGAGAGAAGAACAAGTGCAGATAAAAAGTACAAATACACGTACTATGTAGAAACAAACTACAAAATATACCAACAATAAAAAAACACACCAAAAAACAGAAGAAACGCACAAGTCGAAAAGTCGAAAGAAAAAACACCACCTAACAAGTGACAAACTCAAGCCTTACTATGCATACAAATAAACCCCGCCTGTAGACAGAGAAACGCGTCGCCTTCTGTGTTGTTGGTATTGGCTTCACATATGAACCGCCCCTTATGTCTCTGCCCGGCACCTTCTTCTGTCTACAACCATTTTTCTTCCCAGTAGTTCTCACCAAAGACCTGGAGATGGTCTGCCCCGCCGAGCCTCCGACGCACACGATGGCCGTCACCCCGGCAAAGAATGACAGTCCTCCCCCGAATGGCCCGAACCCTAACCACAAGAAGACCAGCCCCAGGGACAGCGTCGTGCGGAGCCCGGCCTCGACGTTGACCCGAAAGTCGCTCGGGGGGCGATACGCCGGCATTTTCTTCTTTTCGGTGAGGGAGGCGGAGGAGCGGAGGGAGAAATGGGAGAGAACAGAGGGAGGCGTTTTGTGGTGCTTGTGCGATCGCAACAACATTCCCTGACACCACTGTTGTTCTCTCAGTGCAAAGGTTTTGGCTTATCCGAATGCAGCGGTACGCAGAAAAAAAAGCCTGCTCAATACCCCCTCTGGTAGGAAGCTACACTCACGAAATGAAATCGAGCGATATTGAGATAAGTCTCGACTATGTAGACTGATGGCAAAGCAACTCTGTTGGTTCCACGGAAGTTTTTTCGCCTACATAACATAGTGCAACAACAGCAGTTGCCCCCCTGCTTTTATCTCGTGCCATTGACGACCATCTCGATCCTTGACAACCGCGCGTAGCAGGAGCACGCTCACTGGCAGGTACTGCTGCGAAACATGTCTGTCGTGGGTCGGTGTACAGACCAATTCTGTACACTATGCTCGGAGGCGCCGTGCATCGAACGCACGTGTACACACGTAAGTTGGCCTGTGACCACGGGAATCGACCGCGTCAAGTGTTGGATCAGTATGGATATATGAAGGTACTGGGTAGAGAGAGATCGGAACGGTTTTTAATGTGAAGACAACAACAACAACAACAACAACAACAACAACAACAACAACACGTCAGGTATTGGTGCTTGCTGCAGGAAATTGGAAATCTGCAGTGGGTGTGAAGGCTGTAAAAACAGGAACCTTGTGGTATCTTGTATAGGACCCAACAAAGATACGCGCGGACGAACTTCAATTTTGGTTGTGGCCCTGCTCGGTGACACGATTTGAAAGTTTGAATCAACCATGCAGGCCGCGTCATCAGAGAAAAAAGTAAAAGTTGTCGATTTTCATTTTGAACTTTTGGTCGTGGGGCCTATTGTACAAGACGACAGTAGAAAATAAAAAACTACTGCGTGCGCACCGCATAATCACTAGCCCCGCACTAATCTAGATGGTGGCACTCCGGATAACAGGGCGCTACACCCCTAGCGGCAAAGGCAGAGCAAAACCCTCTTGCACGCGGGGTTGAAGACTACAAGCAGCTGCAGTCTACGTACTGCTGCGTGTGCGCTGATGTAGCATGCCGAATGGACTCAAGGAGACGCCTATGAACAACGTGGTGTTTTGGTTACCAGAGATGCAGCCACGACTGCATGCGCACTACGGGCAAAAAGCTCGGGTGAGCAGTAAAGCCAGCGAAAGTATCCAACAACTATCAAATGCGGATCCCTTCATGTGTTGGCACGCAGCTCCTGCTGTGTGTGAAACTGCCATTATTTAGCACATCCGACCGGCGTCATCAAATACTCACTCCATGTGATCTCGAAGTTTGCTCCCTTCTGTCATGCCCTTGGTTCGCCATCTTTGTCTCCCGCCAGAGTTGTGTCTGGTCGTCATAGGTCGTATGCTACTACCAGACGACCAGATGAGACGTCAGCAGACCTGAGACCTGAGACCTTGCTGATGCCATGGCTGTCACGAGACTGTCAACATCGCAAACCCCCCCCTCAATACACTCGCGGCGCCCCCGGACATGCGTGTATCTTACCGAGACCTGAGACAGAGAGAGTACCATCAGATGATGCAGATCGTTCCGAGCGACAGCAGCTTCGAGGACCGTCCAAATGAACCCCATACAGCGCAAGGCCGCGCGTGATGGTTTCATCGTGCATTGTCTATAGTAACCCTGCTCTCGCGGGGATCGATTCAATCGAGCCGACGTTGACAAGGCTGCGAGCTCTTTTCTTGGCCGTCAACATCAAGCACACACTTCTTGGCGTACAGACAGGCACAAAGAAGATCCTGCTGGAGAAGGGAGCCAGCCAGTGTGTCGGTATCGGAGGATGGCGGCGCCACCGCACTGCTTACTTCTGTTGACGACGGATATTTTCCAATAACCACAGCTGTAGCAGTCTGCGGCGATGTTAATAGTGCACAGACAGGTAGGGAGTAAGTAATAGTAGGTGCCGACCTCCAAGACTGACTAAATAAATTCGTACAATCAATCGCAGGACCGATCCCCGCCTTATACATTTTATCACTGGCATGCCTGCGACTTTGCCAGTAGAGTTTACGACATGTCGAAAGCGCCCCTCCGCACCAGAGGAAGGTCAAGAGCTTCCTTTCATTTATTTGTTGTTTTTTCCCGTCTTCCTTCTGCGGTGGTGGTACTTCATGAAAAAAAAATCGCGAGAAAGAAGGGTTGATTCAGCCGTCCGTCTCTTCTTTCCGTCGTCGACAGTGAAATTCATATCTCTGTGCCACATTTGATCGCTTCCCGCTGCAAATTGTAGGCAAAGAGGAAAATCGAAGCAATAACCTGATACAACTGCTTGTTTGGAGAGTTCAGCAACTAGACCACCGTGGCGACCGGCAAAATGAAAGCGATGGCAAAACAAACGGTTCCGGAGGGCATCGAACCCTCGACCTCGCGATTAACAGTCGCACGCTCTGCCACTGAGCTACGGAACCCCCATGACAAGATGTTCTTAAAGTTTTTTTTCAGTGTCTCACAGCAGTGACGCCGAGCGCCGTCCAAAGGGCTCTCAGGAGTCTTTCCCCCATGTCTGACGAGCTCTGTCAGCCACTCTCAACATACTGCGATGTGTATGGTATCGGGCTCCACCTATGTTATTATAGGTCTTAAAGTATGTACGTTCAGTGCCCTGACCTACCGCTTTGGACCTCTCTCGGATGGCGATGATTAGTTGTGACCGCTGTGATGACCAAGGGGTGGAGAATGACAACACAGGCTTGGACATTTTGGAAGTACATACAGGCCTTCTTTTCCAAGACCTACACACACGAAGAGCTGTTCGTGAGGTGGATTATGCCATCCTTACGAAGGCTACTGCGGTAGTACTCATGTGTGGTTTTGAGCTATGCAGGTGCGCAAGTGCGTGACCGTCCATCGGTCATTTGGATCTTCGGGGTATCTCCGGTAGTAGGATCTTTGGCAAGTTGTCGCGCATTCCTTGCTGTCATGTATTCCGAGTTCCGAATGCATCTTGCGACTGTTGCTCGCGTGCCTCGGTGTTTGTGATGCACCTGGGTGCCCACTCTCTTCCGTTGCTTGTGTCTACGAGGACGACCAATAAAACGACTTTACCATCTCTTCACATTGTCAAACGGGACAGCCGTGCTCATCCAGCAGCACTCGGCTTGGGGCCAATCAACACTCTAGAGTTCTTGTGGCGTTAACGTCATAGTCTAGTGCGGCAGACACACATGTCTTCGAACGACTCTGTGAACTCTGGCGGGGGCGAGGCTGGCCCGACTCATGAGGAGCTTAGGACGGCCATCGACGACGCCGTGGGCGACGCCAGCACCAGAATGGAGAAGATGGTGACGGAGAAACTGGAAGGCATCATGAACACCTTGTCCCGGTTAGTGCCCGGGACACCGCCCGCCGGAAGTGCGACCGCAGCGGGCGGCGGGGGGGAGTCACAGGGGAGGACGCACGCCTTCCCTGGCGCGGGTCAGCTAGACCAAGCGCCGAATACTGGACGAGGGCTCGAGGGAGCGAGAGGACTGCGAGGCCCGGAAACACGAGAGCCTACACCACACGGTGCTATCTCGCGAGAGGGAATCAGCAGAGAGGAGCAAGCTTCACGGTATGCTTTCAGCTCGCATGCCCGTATCCCACGCCTGAAACAGTTGGACTTCAACGGAGACGAGAAAAACTGGCTGATGTTCCGAAACGATTTCATTACGCAGGTTCAGACTTGTGGGATGGGTCGCGCCTTGAGCGACAGCAGAGACATTGAGGTCCTAGGCGTAGACGATGATGGCATGATAGAGCAAGGAGTGGAAGTAGGGGAGATAGCCATGTACCGGGATTTGTGGGGGATGCTGACCGGAGCGATATCCAACAACTCCACAAAAATGCTGGTGTACGATCGAAAGGGGCCCTCGGCAGCGTGGCGTGCGTTAGAAGAAACATTCACCCCCTTGACCGGCGGCGAGCAGATCTCGCTGATCGGAAAGTTTTATAATGCACAACAAGGGAAGAACCAGGAACCCCGAGTGTTTTTCCAGGAGTTCAAGTCCGTAGTGACTAACCTAGAGTTGGCATTCGACCAGCCCATCCCAAAAATGCTCGTGTATGCACGGTTCCTCGATGCGCTTTCCCCGGAATTCGAGATTCAAAAGCAACAGCTGCTCGCCCAGAAAACACTCGATGAAGAAGAGATTTTGAGAGTGCCTCGCACACGGGCTGGGCAACTGAAAGCGGAGGAAAAGAAGGGGAAGAGTGATCGGCGAGCGAACCATCATGCGTTCGTAGCAGTAGAGGGGAAGGGGGGAGGAAAGAGACGTCCGAAACAAAACCGAGGTTACGAAGAGGCGAATATAGCTAGCGATAAGAGAGTCAAGTGCTACGTCTGTGATGGTGACCACTATGCGAGTGCATGCCCAGAGAAGCTTTGCCAGAGGTGCGGAAAAAAGGGGCACAACGCGAAAAACTGCCCATCGAGAACTGAAACTGCAGTCGCCGCGATTGAAGTTGGAGTCGGTGGTGTTGAGTTAGACGTCGCATACGAAGCACTCTGATGTTGTCTAGATCTGTTTTCCCAGCGGTGCATCAACGCCCGTTCGCTTTCGTGCCTTGCGTGCAATTCGGCTCGTCGGCATTCCCCCATCAAGAGCCGATTTTGATGATACGACTGACGAAAGTACAAAGGGGAATTTTTTCTGGCCTGTTACTTTTCCGCCGTTCGCTCGTTGTTTTTTTTTTTTTTTTTTTTGTGTGTTCGATCGGGATACGAACGCAGTCCACGAAACTCGATGTTGCCTGTCCGGTATACCATGCGCATCTCAGTAACTAACCGCGTAGGTTGAGCCATGATGAGGCTTATTGCACGATGAAATACTGAGGATGGTGTGGTATTCCGTTGTCGTCTCACTTTGAGGAATGGTGATCCGCAGGGCACTGCGGTCACACCAATTTGATTGATGATGTTCGGAATTATTTTGCCTGAAATCAGGGAGGGCTGATGAATGACGCCTTTTTCCGTGATAGATGGCTACCAGCGTCTCTCATATTAGCAGGTACCGGCAGGGCTGGTTGATGAACTGTTTGTGATTGATATGCTGCTTCGATCGTCCTCTGATGTGTAGGCTGAGAGGGGGCACCCTCCCCTAACATGTGGTTGATTGCCCTTTTATATGATCTTTCATTGATGTACAGACCGAGGGGGGCACCCCTCACTGTCATGTGATCGACAATGGTGATCGGGGTTGGTTGCAGACGCGCCCCGTTGCTAACAGCAGCTGGATACAGCAGTAGGGATCCTGTTGCTGGAGAGGGAGTTACTTGTGAAAGGAGTAGCAAAAAATGTCTAGGTCCAGTGTCTCTCGAAGCGGGGTACCGTTGTGGTTGAGATACTGCTTGATCTTCCTCTTGGTTGATCGCCCTCTATAAAAATGTCATTTAGCGATGTAGCGTTAGGTTTTACGTTTTTCCGCTGCAATTTGGCATTGGTGCTTGTGGCCTTAGGCGCGCCGCGGTGCTGACAGCAACTCGATACAGTAGGGATCCTGTTGGCTGGGAGGGGACTACTTGAAAAGGGGTAGTACAAATGCCTGACAGTTGTAGACGTGTAGGTTTGCAACTTTGTGACTGCTGTGTTGATTGTGTTGACAGTTCAATCAGCAGGATGACCCGTGGGGGCGGAGGGTTTTGATCCGGTGGCCGGGTTTCCCTTCGTTTGTTTTATTTTTGTTTCTTTTTGGAGTTTTCTATGAGTACCCTGAGCGCTTTGGTTTTGAGAGCATTCGTTATGATGTACAGAATCAGGGAGGGTGTTCGTGAGGTGGATTATGCCATCCTTACGAAGGCTACTGCGGTAGTACTCATGTGTGGTTTTGAGCTATGCAGGTGCGCAAGTGCGTGACCGTCCATCGGTCATTTGGATCTTCGGGGTATCTCCGGTAGTAGGATCTTTGGCAAGTTGTCGCGCATTCCTTGCTGTCATGTATTCCGAGTTCCGAATGCATCTTGCGACTGTTGCTCGCGTGCCTCGGTGTTTGTGATGCACCTGGGTGCCCACTCTCTTCCGTTGCTTGTGTCTACGAGGACGACCAATAAAACGACTTTACCATCTCTTCACATTGTCAAACGGGACAGCCGTGCTCATCCAGCAGCACTCGGCTTGGGGCCAATCAACAAGAGCCGGCTGAGTTAGACGCCATGGTGGGTGTACCAAGAGATGAATGGAGAAATCATGAAAATTGAAAATGGACGTTCGACGGCGGCGGAGATTGAAGAACTTTGGAGAGATCGATAAAGGTCCCTCCGTGAGGTGATTGATGAGGAACACATGCCAAATGCTGTGATGAAGAGTATGCGACAAACAGATCTAGGAAGGAAGGTGTTTGTTTGCTCTCTTCTGCGCTTGGTGGGTGGTCAAGATACACCATGACGACCGACGAATTTAGTGGAATTTTGAGAGTCCACGGGTGGCGGGACAGCGTCGGCTGGCAGCTGCATGCCAATGCACAAATAATAGCATCATCGAACATGGGGATACTCTATCGTACACAAATTGAATTGAGTTCTTGTATGCGTGGTTTCGTCAACTCACTCACTGCTGTGCTAGGGAAAAATACGAAACAAGACATCGCCCTCCACACACAAAATGGGACACACAACGCCACACCTCGGGGGTCACATATTTCTACCTGTCAACATGAGCCCAAAAGTCCTAAAACTACTCTCAGATAAGGCAAGGAGGCGCGGCCTAGCACACACGCCACACAACATTGAATACATCCGGTCTGGAATTGTTTTTGAAGACAGCATGTTGGATATAACCCGGGGGCATTTTTTTGTGTCGTTTGCGGTACTGAACCCTGGTCTCTACTTAACTCCAATCAAATTGACTCTTCGGACAGACATAATGCTGAAAATACTTTCTTCGCTCATCTTACATCCGCAGCCCCAATCCAGATGCCTGTGCGTGTATTGATCGAAAGCGTGCCGTTCCCTCCGCCTAATTGAGCACGGACTGGAATCCCGCTCATCGCGCCCATACACCGCCGTGAACCGGACTACAAGAATTGCGAACGTGTTTATTTTCCCAAGCACGATAACAACGATGCCGTGCGAGGATTCGCAAGCCGACAACCCCCTTGAGAAACGCAGCGGGAACCGCATACAGAACAACAGATTTGTAGCTCTGCGGGGAGAGCGAAGACAACCCTTGGACGAGAGCGGCAGAAAGCAACGCCCGCCCACAAGCACGACAAAGCATGCCTGCCGCCACATTGGAAAACCTTGGTTACTGCTGTGTCGTGAATATAAGCTCTGGGGCCTTCTGACCACAAAGTTGTATAGTCTCTAGAAAAACGATAGGACCCTGATTGCATCACAGATGAAAACTCGAAGCATCGAAAAAGTCCTGGCTCTGTGCCCCAGAAGCACGACCCATCTGATAGAGGTAGGACTTATTCAATCACGTCTGCCCACGGTACGCACTGCAGTGTACAACAGTCCCTTAAGTAGCGGTCATTGCTTTCATTTCATGACTTTACTCGTTCGTGCCAAACGACAGCCGCGCGCGCACGTTGGTGAACCCTACCCCGTTACATAAGGTTCCGCAAGTTCCTTTTGTTCTCGAACGTGAGGGAGCACCGAAGGTATCTTAACGAGACCTTCTTTTAAGAGACGCGAAGTCATCCGGGCGTGATATCAGGATATCGCCCTCGACATGAACAAAAACTGCTATTTAGTTCTTCTTCGATGCAGCTTTTTCCCAGGTGTACTGCCGCGTCCCGGGAACAAAGACGGGGGTGGACTTGGCGTACTCCTTCCACTCCTTCGAGGACCCGTACTTCTCCACCTGCCTCTTCTCCAGCCCCCCCGTCGCCCGGAGGATGATGGAGACGATCTGGGAGGGGCCTATCACGGAGAACACCCAGTGGTACCTAGACCGGAAAAGAGAGAGAGACGCAAGAGACGGACAGATCTATTGGTTGGGACCGTTCTGCAGATTGGTTCACGCTTGGAAGCAAAGGGGAGGCGGTGTGCTCATTGGAAAGATAAGGTGCATATTGAGTCGTTTATCAGGAATTACGCGAAAAAAGTCAAGTGATAAAAAGTCAACTTCGCGTGATGTTCGGGTCAATTGAGGCCAATGAGGTATTGGCACAGCTACAAGAAACTAGCTTAAGGTTAATTACGTCAAGACAAAGACAAGATAACAGCGAACTCCGTCATGACGACTCCACGGCACGATTTGCCGAGCAGCCGCTCTTGGTTCATCTGGTCAAAAAAAAACTCTAGATGGCATAGACACACGAAATTTTCGTGTGCCAACCAGGATTGTGACAAGGCAATCCCTGGTGCAGTATCCCGAGAGCTCCCTTGCTCGGAGCGACATGACTGTAGCCGATGCTGTTTGGGGAATCATTTCGAGAGCGATCAATCCGTGCGACAGACCGTAGCCAATGCTGCCTGGAGTCTCGTTTCGAGAGTGATCCATGTTGTCACCACTCACCACTTAGTATACGCAGGGATCGCCGCCAGCCAGGCCCCGGTCCAGAAAACCGCCTCCCCGAAGTAGTTGGGGTGGCGTGAAAAGCGGTACAGGCCGCTGAAAAAGGCCAAGAGCAAGGAGAGCCAATCGGATCGCGCAACAAAAGAGAAGGTGAAAGAGATGGTCACGATAGGAGGTGCATGTGGAAGGTGGGCTAGCTCCCGCAGCTGCTTTAGAACGCCGGAGCTCTGGTGTGTTGTTGAGCTTTTTTCGGTGTCGACATTTGTTGTTCCGCAGAAATTCTGGCGAGGAGGCGACTGTTAATACGTAGTACAATTTAACAATTTATGGCAATATGTGACTGGTGAGAACGCGACAGAATAAGTGTGTGAAAACGGGAATCGGCTTACGGAGTGTGAACATACTGCACCTTCCGTGTTGCTGTAGGGGAGCGATATCCCTAGGCTATAAGTATTTCGATCGCTCTTTACGTTTAACCCGATGATGATGATCGTTGGCAACCCGACGTCCACACCGCTTTCTCAACACACACGCTCCCTGGAACAAGACTTGTATCGTTAAACAGGTCCTTCTCTGGACGCTAGACAACGGCAGTTTCATCGCAGAGCGAGGGCACAACTACCCATCACCGCACATTACGCACCATGAAGCATTCCGGCCGAAGACGAAAGCGTTTCGGCTTCTGGGTTAACCGGCCACCTTTGTATGAAACTGCCGAAGGCGTGGCGTACGCCTCAGCAACACGCAACACCGGCAAGGCTAGCTGAACCTGGAACTGCGGTCTATCCTCGGACCGAAGATCTGCACACACGCACACGACATTGCGGGCTACCATTTTTCCGTAAGCGTGAAAAACATCGCCTTCGTTGTACCCACGTGCTGCAGAAGGTATCCGGGGATTTCTTCTTGAACAGGGACTTTTGCAGGTCCGCCACCGACTCCACCAGCAGCCCGAAGGCCATGACCGCCAACCCCGCTTGGCTAACGCCTACGTATGAGCCCTGGGAGAAAGAGGAAGAGCGCAGGGCAGCCGGCAAGGTGGAAGAGCCAATGAATCGATCAATCCCTCCCCTCATGCCTGGTCCGGCGAGAACCCGGCGTGCTCCGTCCCGGCTTTGTAGGGATGCGAGGTCAATGGTCTAACGACTACGGCATGCACCACTATGAGTACACCCTCCCCCCCCCCCCGCCTCATGTTGTGGAGCCAGCTCGCCTCTCGTATATTGTCCTTGAGGCGCGACCTCAAAAAATCAAGTGTTACCTTATACCAGGCATAAATGTTTTCTCAGCCAAACAGACCGCTTTACGTGCAACCATAGATCTCTCACACTGCAATCGCGCGCAATCCAAGAGGTATGCTAAATTTCCATGTGTAGCAGCTATGGGGCACGCATGGAACGCGTCCGTTGCTGTTGTTACCCTTCCTCTCTCTCTCTCTCTCTCTCTCTCTCTCTCTCTCTCTCTCTCTCTCTCCTTCTCTCTATCTATTTCTCTCACTCACCTCAGCCGCAGGAAGGCGGCGAAGAGCATAAACGGTCGGTAGGGCAAGAAACGCGTAGAGCATGGAGCAAATGCCCCAGAAAGTGTACGGGGGACCGGCATTCTTCTTCTTGGGCTGGGCTAGCCGCCTAAGACAAGAAGCACGACAAGCAGTCCGACGACGCAAACAGAGCATAGACAAGTTAGCCAACGGTACAGCAGCCTGCTTCGAAAAGCAAAACTAGAGCACCGACCAACCGTTTCAAACGTGAATATATTTAGTGAAGTTAGTGTATATATCTTTGTTTGATCACGGTTCCAAGCCAAGATGCACACAAACACACCGTAATAGCAACATACCCCCACGCCCTCACACGAACCACTTGGCAACCCGGAAGTGCGTGCGTGGATGTAGCCCCGCACTTCACCACTGAGCACGAGCCGAAACAAAGGGCTTTTAGCTCCACGGGTCAAGTCTCTCAAACATATCCAGAATTCTCCTACACCGCTCCCGCTCTCCTCGCATGCGATGCAACCTTTTGGTGCCACCCTGTGCTCCATTGCTTTCAATTCGAGAGCGGTCGACGGAAGAGGGTCGTCTAGCCCGCAGATCCACACAAAAGGGGAGACGCGACTGGGAGATTTGGGGCTCAAGGTCCACATACGCAACGTGTGAAGTAAGCATGTTAGATAACGTATGCAATCGGGGAAGTTGGGTTAGGACTGGGGTTAGGACTGCGTAGCCCCTCCCTCTTCTATTTTCTCAATAAACTTACTTTCTCGCGAAGGCGGCCCGCATGAAGGAGGCGACACTCAAAACCAAAAAAAAAATGCTCGAGTTCTGGTGTCTAGCGGTGGCTCTAAAACTACCAGAGAGGGCCTGTGCCGGCGAAGAGCGCACGCCGGCGCTGCTTCTTTCTGCTCACTGTTCTCTCGGGGCAAATATTATCTCACCTAAACAGACGGTGGTCAGGTGAAGCTAGATCTATACACACAAACAGAGGCACGACCAATGCGCTCCCTTTTTCGGAGATCCTGCCGTTTTGTACCCAATGTTCGTTTATTTTTCGGAGATCGTGCTGCTCACTTCCTGCGGTTCTGGAAGCACGAGAGAGTGTCCCTCCAGCCGCAAAACGAGGCCAGCCTCAGCCCGTAGGCCACCAGCCCAGCAGCGTGCAACGCGGAGAGCGTGTGCAAGTTGTCGCGGAACAGCCAAGCCGCGCCAGCGGCCTGAGAGAAAAAAAAAACAGAAAAATGGAAAACAAGTTAGGGAAAAGAAAAATTGGAGAGTAAACAGCGGTAACATGAGCGACGAAAATTCAGTGAACTCGCCCCGAGAACACGCGAGAGCTGTCTGATGCGCTCACAACGCCGCCGGGGGGGTATCCAAAGGGGCGATGTCTACAGCAGTATCTCTTGAGAAGAAAATGTTCCTGGTCTCTCGCCGGACTGCCGCTATGCTACAGCGGTGGCGACGAGATGCTGGTCCCCGTACAAGGCCGCACAACATACGGCGGGTCGCTTTGAGAAAGGCCGCAGGAAACGCGTGACACAAAGGAAACAGTACAACTGCTGTGTCATACTTCTGAGTAGTGCCAGGTGTCCGATCAATGGCGGGCTAAATTCCTCAGCACTACAGCAGTAGTCGGCCTTCTGCAGGAACCACCCAACTGCTGCAGCTAAATCCTCAGCACAACAGTAGCAGTCGGCCTTCTGCAGGACACCACCCAACTGCCGTAGCAGTGGCTTGCCGAACGAGGCCAGGAATGACCTGAGACCGACCTGGCTACCTTCCGACGGGACTAGCAACGCTCCAAGCGCGGAGAGCAACAAGCGCCAACTTCGAGACACACCTGGAGGGCAACGGAGAAGCCGTAGCCGTAGCTGACAAAGTGCTCCCGGATGCGAAATCCGTCAATCGATGTCACCATGGACAGCAGGACGCCCTGCCGCAGAAGGCACAAGAAGGAGGCACGCAGGGGCGGGGATGGAGGAGAGTTGGGACGGAATGTACAAAACTGTGGCGAGGCGTAACCGCTACCGAAGCGCTGGCTGTGGTTGGATAACCACGTGCTATTGAACCGGCGCACTACAGTAGTCCACGATGAAGCTTTGAGGATTTTACCCGCAAGATCACTCGTGGCGTGGTGTCTCAATAACGTGTGAGATGCACATAGCAGTATTCCTTGGTTTCACTTCGGAAAAATACATAGCAGTGTAGCAGAAGGTAGGGATTTCCCAGGGAACGATATACTCCGGGCATGAAACACAAAAGGAGATCCACACACCACCACCCCATGCGTACCTGGGCGAAGAGAGCCGGCCCCCCTGTCCATGCGATGGCGGGGACAGAAATCGCTGCGATCGCGGCGGCAGCGGCATCATACCCAGGGATGTTCATCGCGGGGCTCCCACCACGCAGGGTCGTAACTGTCTCGAACAGTCGCTCGCGCGACCCTGCTGTGCCGAGCGCAGCAGAGGATCCACCGCTGCTGCTGTCGCTACGAGCGGCAAACTGGCCATTTGTGCGCCCATTCAAGTCGGACGCGAGCTTGCTGTGGGTGGTTGGTGTGTTGGGGGCTGCGAAGAAACCTTCGGAGTGGGCCAGGAGAGTGCACAGCAGCACCGCCGTCGCTCCCAGCTGCTTCGGCAGCGCCCGTCGAAGCCTCGCCATCATTCGCTCTAGGGTCTGCTTGTAAAAATGTGTTTCCGGACAACAATCGCAGGGGTGTCGTACTTGTCGCACGATCGCTCCTTCCGACGAAAGACCCGCGACAGGAAGAAAAACAAAAGGGAGATGTGAGATATGTATATGCACAGATAGGCGGGTTTTTGGATCTCAAAATATTTTTCTCAATCCATCTCTATCGATAGAAAAGAGTACACGATTAGCAATGATCCATTATCGTCAGCGGAAGCTTATTTCCACGACGTGGTATCTTGGATGTTCTGTGTGTAGTATATGGCCAATAAAGAGCCGGAACTCTATCGAGGGAAAGCAATATATCAACCAATCTCGATCCCATTCTCTCCCGACTGAAGGCCGTCATCCTTCGTTGAGAGTGTTCACAAAATGTATGCATGTACACACGTATAGTACAGTAGTTCAGCAGGCTGAAGGAACATGAAATTCAACCAGCGTGTGCCCCTCTGTTTCCAATGTCAACGATCGGGACTTGGTGCTTGTTCATACACTCTGCTGCCGCATACCTAACTGCACAGCAGTCTTTCAAGTTGTAGTACGCAATCATGAGAGGCTTAATGTGTTTTCACGTGTGGCAACACGGTGCCACCCACAGGAAGAAGACACAGCTGGCAGCAAGGAAGTAGGCAGCAGCAATCCATTTGGGTCTCCCCTCTCTTGCCAAACCGAGGCTACCGTCAAGGATCTACTGCTGAAAGTCGGTGTACACATAACAATACGCCGACACCGCCAAACTCTTCGTCTTCTTGGGGTGCACGTCAACGACAGAGATTCTATCTCGGCTTACCTTGGAAGGCTGGTGTATTCTCTGTCAAGTCAGTGCCGCACCTATCTCTTGCTGCTCAATGCTCTGTTTGCACGCGCTTTTCGTGCTTAGTTGCACCGCCGCCGACAAAAAGGGGCACCGCACCGTCAATTGTAACAACAACATACCACATAGATTAATTGGTTCGCGGGACTGTCAACCTTCATCTTGCATCATGGGCCGTGCCATTGCTTTTCAAATCGCCACCTGGTCCCTTGTTGCTGTACCTCTGTAATCTCTCTCTCCCAACACCTCGTGAGCAGACTCCCGCCCCTACTTACCAACACAGCTTTGCTAGGCCCTGGGGGCAAAATAACCGCTTGCGTGTGTCTGCCAACATGCTCGCGGCCAGGCGAACCTACGGCTTGGGACGCTCGACCCTGAGTACCAGCGCCGTTGCCGTGTCACGATGCTCGCGCCTCGGTGCTCTTGCTCACGCCACCACCGCTAGGTGTCGCAGCACGCGGATCGGCTCCACCCGACAGGTCCCAGCAGCCCGCCAACAGCACTTTAGCGGCGGCTCGGCGCCGGGCGCTAATAGCTTGTCGTCGTCGCCGGGCGTGGGCTTGGGACGCCAAGCAGGCTGTGGCAGGAGGCCCACCCAGCTGGCGAGGAAGAAAGGGAAGACGGAGTGGGTCAGGTACCAGAACATGATGCACCAGCGAACGGGCCTTGCTCGGCGGGACCAGCTGTCGTCGATGCGAGGAGGGGTTGTCGGCCCGAGCGTCAACAATGATGCTGGCAGCGGAGGTGTCGAGACCAGTGCGGATTCTAGTGCTGCTGCTGCCGCTGCCGCTGCGGCCGAGGCCAGCGAACCCGACGTGGCCACCCCGACTGCTGCGGGCAGCTCCGTGACGTTGTCTCCTCCGGCAACGATGGCCACGACTTCCAGCGAATCGACTGCCGTCATCGGTGAGTGGTCGACGCCTAATAGCTCGGACAGCCGCCCTAGCTCTGACGAACTCCACGCGACGACAAACACGACTGCTCGCGGAGGCCTGGGGCCTGACGATGGTGACTTGGCGGCCCCGGACACCGTACCGCCGATCGCAACAACACGCCAGGAAACCAGCAGCCGCATCAGTAGCGAGGATGCAGTCATCACGGACCTGGATAGTAGAAGAGAGGCGGCGCTGAACGCGGAGCTGGAGAGGAAGTTCGGGACGGAGCCGCCGCAGCTCGAGGAAATTTCCGGGAAAACTCGGCGCAGGCGTTCGCGGGGGCGTGGCAGGAGAGGGGCGGCGCGCGCCGTCGAAGGCACCGCCAACGAGCTACAACACGAACCCCCCTCAGCGGTTTCAGGCGGAGGAGGAATAGCACCCGCTGCTGAGTCGGAGACCGGGGAGCTGAACGAGGTGCCCGTTGGAGAAGCGGCAGGACCGATCACCGGCATGAGCGGTGACGGGGCCAAGCCAGCGAGCGGCGAGGGGACTCCGCGGTCGAAGAGCGCAGACGAATCGCGCCGCGGAAGGAGAAACCGTAGGGGGGGGGACGCCACTGGGGATGGAAGGGGGGGGGGATCTCTGGGTCGGGGCGGGCGAGGGAAGCAAGCAGCGGCCGCATCGGAGGGATGGGGAGGAGGAGGGGAGGGTAGCGAGGATTCGTACTCTCAGCAGCAGGGGTCTGCGTGGAAGAACGTTCACGCCAAGAAGAAGCTGAGGTGGCTGCTGAAGGGACTCGCGAGCGACTACGGGGTGCAGGAGATGCTCGCCCGCCACCACATTTCGAAGGCGAGTTTGTTGAGGAGAATCTCGTGCGGGCAAGTCTCGGTGGTGCTACAGCCTTGTTCACACGCGAGCGTGTCAAACTGGTAGCAAAGCTTTCTTGTTTGCGAAGGTGGCCATCTTCGGATTGCCTCGGCCGTGTGTGCCGATCGCTCGGTGTCGAGCGTTTCTGCCAGGCTTTGTGGCATTTTGTACCTCAATTTTTCGCGGTTGTCGTTGGCAAAACCATCTCTTCGTTAAGACTACTATACTCGGGACGAGCGAATCGCCATATCCGAAAGGTCGTGTGTTCAAACTGATTGCTGTTGCAATGTGATGAAGACCCGGGCTCGACTTCAACTTGTTTTTTCCTGTCTCTGTTGATAGAGTGGTCCTCGTGTCGTCGTCCATGTTTAATCGAAGCCGTTATGGGGTATATCACCAGAACGGAATTGTGTATGTACATGTACAACAACGCACACTCAATCGAGGGTAATTCCCCATTCCCCTATCCTCTCTTCGCACCCCCCCCCTCCCCCCCCCCCCTCTCTCTCTGACGTGTTTCCCTTTCCTTGTCGTCGTCGCCTTAACGTAGCACACGATGTCCAAGCTGCTGCGGGTGTTTGAGGACCTGGTCTTGGATCACCCCGACACCGCATTTCCAGGTGCATGAAACCTACCTACTTACGGAAGGTGTAATGGATAGTAATGCACGGAGGTGTGACTCTCGTCTTTTTTGCAGTAGCGTTGGTAATCACGTTGTATTCTGACGCGGGCTGTCAGCAAGCGCGTATACGGCACTCACCGCTGTTCGCGCATCCGTGAATACGCTTGCCTGGCGGCCTCACTACACGTTCGCACGTGTAAACCTGCCGGCAACCACCAAAATATTGCGAATAGTCGAAACGGCCATAGATAGTTATAGTTGCCTCTTGTTTGCCGCCCACCAACTTAGATTAGGACATCACATCACCCGACACGTACACCGACAAGATTATCGATGGTGCGCGTTGTTTGTGACACCGAGCTTGGAGAGCAGCGTTGGTCCGGGGATTAGTCAGTGATTTATCATTTTCAGGCGTCTTGGCGTCTGAACAGCATGGTACCCACGAAGGTAGTTCTACGCATCATCCTGTGTTTCTGTTTTGCTCATCGCAAGCTGGTCTGGTGTACGTACGTAGTTTCGGACTTGAGATGTGCTTGTAGGCCTAGTGAAGCGTTGCAGTGTCCCCAGGACAGTCAGACGTCGCAGGCGACATGCAAGCAGGCGACATGCAAGACGATGTATTTAACTGCCACACACAATCTTACACCCATGTCTTTTTTTTATTTCGACATGGCGGTGGTGATCACGAACGACCTGATCGCATGCCATAGCGTGTGTATATAAATTTTCAGAAATAAAAAGCAGAATTACCAGGCAACTGCTAATTCAATCTGGACTTTTCTTATGTGTGGATTGAGAAGATGGGTTTGTTTTGTTGTTCAACAACTCTTTAACGTTGTAGATTTAATGTGCAGCCATCAACCAACGGCCCCTCCCCGCGCGCGAAAAACGAAACACAACCGGAACAGGTGAAGCCGGACAAAAACTGCAGGAGGAAATGTCCTCTCTGTGCTACCACCCCAAGTTCCAGGCCGACGCTGTCCTCATGAAAAGACCCATTAGGACAAGGACCACCTCCGGGCGATCGTTCACGTTCTCGTCCAAGCAGCCCAAGCGGGGACGTGAGGGACCGTTCGTCAAGGAACGCAACGACGTAGTGGAGAAGGGTTTGATCCCAAGGTACATGCGTGCGGTAGCCCTGCCGGGTGCTTGTTGTTTGTTTGCGCAAAGGAATACAGTGGGGGGTCATTGCCGGTAAGTGCCCAAGAGAATTCCGGACAACGGCAGTATTCAAAGCACAGAACGATTTTGGTGATTCCCTGTGTGTCGCCGAAAACGCCGGCACTGTACCGGCAACCAGCACTATCCAACCGGCACTAAACACCCCGCACACACACTGTAGCTATTCTTCTATACTGTTTCTTTTCGTTTTTTTTGGCCCTCCGGTCCGATGTCCGTGGGTCGAATGTCGCATCTTTTATCTTCGCAGATGAACCTTCGTTCAGTTCGGTGTATGGATAGATTTGCCGTTCCCTCCGGCTGTCGACCTGTTTCGGCTACAACAGTATGTATCTTTTGTTTCTTCTTTTGGCGGTGCCTCCGCAGTTGTACTTTGACTCACAAGTTCCTTCCGTACGTGGTAGGTTGGTCGAGCTGGCGCAGGAAAGCTACGCCGACGAGATCGAGGCGACGAAGCGCATGGACAGCATCGTAGATCTGAGGAACCCTCAGCAAGGATTCCCGCTCGCGAGGCTGAGAAAACGCCGCATCATTTACCACGGAGGTACGTACAACAGCAGCGGCTCCGCGGCAAGAATGTACACTCACCTACTACCCCACCTCTCTCGTGTAGTAAACAGCGAACCCCCCCTCCCGCTCCCCGACGTCCTCACATCCCTACCCACCCTCCACCTCACACCTATGCCACCATCCCTACATTTAACGTTTTTGCTTCACGGCGAAACCGCCACTGTTTACGTGTGCGTGCCACGATAGCAGTACAGTAGTAGTAACGCCTGCCGCACCACCCACCCGCAACACGTACACACACAAAAACAAAACGCCGTTTTTATGCGTAGGACCAACCAACTCCGGCAAGACGTACCAAGCGATCGAGCGCCTCAAGAAGGCCGGCGCCGACAGGCAGCCGGGGGACGGGCCGGCGGGACTGTTCTGCGGGCCGCTTCGGCTGCTGGCGCTGGAGGTGTACGAGCAGGTGCGACGCGCTCATTGTGGTTGTTGGTGGTGTCGTGTTGTTGTTGTTGCTGTTGGTTGTTGTCGTTGTTGGTACCATTCCTGATGTGTGAATACTCCATTTTGTTTAGCGGGCATATTGGTGTTTTGCGTGCATATGGGTGTTATTGGTGTTATCGTTGGTGGTGTTGGTGCCGTCCTGCTTCCTTTGCCGTAGTATGTACCTCTTGTCGCAACAATGAGCGAGTTGATGCTTCTCAGCACACGCTCACACACCCATCCAAAACTTGTGCTTGTGTTCATGGACCCCCAGCGTGACAAAACCTTTTGTGTTTTTCACGTACCCCCCCCTCCCCCTGCCATCAACGAACAGCTGAACAGCCAAGGGGTATACTGCAGCCTCATGACGGGGCAAGAGAAGCGAGAGGTGCCTTTCGCCACCCACGTTTCCTGCACGATCGAGATGGCTTCGACCGTCAACGAGTACGAGGTGGCCGTGATTGACGAGATACAGATGCTGGCGGACGAGCAGCGGGGGCCAAGTTGGACATCGGTGAGACCCCGCTGGTACATGTAGCTTCTTGAAAGCGTTAGATAAAACGTACGATACAGTGGTAGAGATGAGGCAGCGAGGCCCAAGGTGGACATCGGTGAGACGCCGCTGACTCTTAGCTTGTCGAAAACATGGAAAACGCGAGAAACGAAAACTGCATTGCTAATTTGTCCTGGACCCTTGTCTACGGATAGACAAAGATGGATTCGTTACGGAATATTAAGAAAAGAAAAAGAAAAACGTACGATGTAGATGAGGCAACCAGCCCCACGCTGGACATGGGTGAGATACTACGGGCGGGCGGGCGTCCTTACGGACCGTTGTTAGCTTCTCGCAAGCATGGAAAGCGACAAACAAAAAACGAAAACTGCACATGGGTGAAATGCTGCGGGCGTGTCGTACCTCGGGGACCGTTGTTAGCTTGTCGAAAAAATAAATAAATGGAAAAGCGAGAAAAAAACAACGACGTAGAACGCGCGAGCGCAACGTAAGATAGCAGAGATGATGTCACCTATTGGCTTCCTTCTATGTATTTGTTTTTCAAAGCTCGTGTCTGGAGCGTTTGAAGTTAATCGCAACGCCCGACCCTCGCGTGGTTCTTCGCGAATCTCCGAAGGCTGTTCTTGGCCTCAACTGTCCGGAGATACACGTCTGCGGGGGGATGGAGGGAGCAGTCCTAGTGGAGGCCATGGCGAAGGAGGTGAGAGTGTCCGGATTGGACTCGAGTGAAGGTTGAGCTCGAGTGTTGGGGGTCTGTTTGTGGTTGGAAATTGGCTTGTCTTGGAGTTGTCGTTTGCACGAAGCGAGCGGTTTTATTTAACCCATGGCCAAGGATTTAACCATGGCCAAGGAAGTGAGAAGAGTCTCAATTTAGTCCGATTAGATTAGGGTGAAGTCATGAGTGTTGCATTTGCTTGTTGTCGTAATTGGGTTCTTCTGAGGGTAATCATTGGGACGAAGGGAGCGGACCAGGTCCGACCTACGCTGTCATGCATGGCCAATACAAACTTGGGTCGATTCGGTTGTGGATGGTATTGTTTACACCTAAATAGCTGCAAGTCAGTCAGGTATTTTGGGGAGTTTGGTAGAAGGTGTCAGGCTTTCCGCGTCGGAGAAATACACAGAGAAGGGCAAACTAGGGACATCGTGGGTGTATGGAAGGAGGGAGGGGATCGAATCCCAGCTCAGGTACAGTAATAACTTGAGGGCGGAGAGCGACAAGGAGAAGCTAGTGCTGTAGGGTAGAACGATCGAACATTTCAAATTGGCCGCTGCTGACTTTACATGCACGATGGCCAGGCTGGATCGCTTAACGAGCAGGAATGAACAAACAACGCTTACCCTTCTTGTCATATGTAATTTTTATGTATAGTTCCGCTTTTTTCGGGTGCGAGATCAAGGAGTAAGATCAGGCTACGAGAGTTTGTAACGACTGGATTGTGTAGGTTATGGCGGACTTCAACGAGCCGCACGCTGTAGGTTTGGTTGACCGTTCTTGCGAAATTCTGCTGCTGGTGGTGGTTCTGCTGCTGCTGCTGCTACTCGCATGGTATTCTTCTTGTCCGAACCTTGAACGTCCCGTGCGCCTGCCGTTGCTACACTGCTGTATGCTGGGCAGACGGGGGATGATTTCGAGCTGAGGGAGTACCAGCGCAAGACCGAGCTGGTGTGTGCAGAAGAAAGCCTAGGCAACAACTACAAAAACATCCAACCAGGCGAGAAATAGAAGAATATCGATAAATAGATAAACAGATGGTTTTGGTACGATACATGGGTTTGATGTAGGAACTGAGAGGTAGAGAGAGGCGGCAGAAATAGATGGAGAGGTGGGGACAGAGAGATAGCTGCACAGAGACATAGGTGGGAACGATGGGTGAAGAGAGACAGAGACAGGTGGGCAGAAAGAGAGATAGCGAGAGAGATGGGCGGAGAGACACACAAACGGAGAGAATAGAGAGAGAGAGAGAGAGAGAGAGAGAGACAGACAGACAGACAGACAGACAGACAGAGACAGAGACAGAGACAGAGATGTGGAAAGAAAGAAACGACGTGGTAATGTGTTGAGATATGGTTGACGTCACTGCGGCTTTGCTTCGTCGTTTCCGCAAGAGACAAGAGATAGGTTGACGAGCATCCGAAAGGCCAGAAGCACACCGCGAAACTAGGGTGATAAATGTTTTTTTCGTTTTTTCAGCTCCCTTGCATGCACAGCCCGTTTTCGCTGAGCTTGTCGATAGGGGACAAGCTGCAGCAGTACTGCCGTACAACGGTCCAGCAGCGAGTCGGAGGTTGCTTTGATTGGTGGGTGCTTGCAGCTGCAAAACCACATGGTTGGGTCTTGAAACATGCGTTGCGGGCTGTTGGTAGCAATGATATTGAATGTTCCTATGAGTGTTTTTTTTGTTTCTTTTTCTTGCCGGGTAAGGATGTGCTCCGCACCGTTGCTAAGGATGGTCTCGGCACTGCTGTCACAAGTGGTGTGGTTGGCTAGGAATACTGGCGCAGAAAGGAGTGGGAATCTGCTTCGCTGCTGATGTGTTGCTCTGTGGTCTAATCGAACTCAACTCAAAATTTAACTCGTTGCCGATGCTTTCAGGCGATGCCGTCGTAGCCTTCAGCCGCAAGGACATTTTCAGCATCAAGAAAGAGATCGAGAGCAAGACTCCTCACAAGTGCTGCGTCATCTACGGCTCGCTGCCGCAGGAGACTCGAGCCCATCAGGTGGGTACGTGAACGGTAACCGAAGCAGCCCAAAACCGTTCGATTCCGCAACTGGCGTGGCTGGAGCCTGCACCGCAGGTGGCTTCACATGCCGCCACCCCTCCCCCTCCCCCCCCCGAGGTTCGATGGACTTGAGCTCGAGTTTTGGTTCTCCATTTTTTTTACACCGCAACGGTAACAGAGCCTGTGATCGGGAAGCTCTTTCGACAGCAAGGCATGGCTTAGAAAGAAAAAAAGAGAAAGTTTAAAAACGGGTGTCGACATGTTGCCAGTTTTTCGCGAACTGAGACCCTTGAACTACTGCTCTGCGATTGCGTTGATGTAAGGAGCATGTTTCGGAGTTGCTCTGTTGTGTTCTATGTGACGAAGCGGTGTCGTGTTGGCCGTCCGTCCAAGCCGGACGACCGTACTGGCGCAGGCTACGTGAGATACCACACCTCCTGGGCCGATTTTTAAAGCCCGATTGTCTCCACGACAAAGATATGTAGTTCCGAATACCGTTTGTTGCTTGCCGTAGTCATTTGACCATTGACCACGCGTCCCTTTCGAGACGGAGCACCGTTCCTACACCTACTAGAGACACCACCAACATTTGGGAGCTCTTTATAGGGGGGGGGGGGGGGGGTTATCTTACGAAACGTACGGTATGTTAATAGTTTATTCACTCTCTGTCTGTCTGCAGGTACTGGTGCTGTGAAGCTTACCGTCGGGCGCTGGTATTTTTACTTCGACTTCGCGCCCGTATGTATTCTGTACTGCGGACTATATATACATAAATCGGTGTAGTTTTTCCCTGCTTCACCCGGTTTTTTTTCAGTCACCCGTCCTCCTTTTCGCAGCTGGTGCGGCGGTCCGCACTCTGTTGCCGTTTTTCAACGTGTTGGTGTTGTCAACATGCCAAGCGCGTCATGTACAGAGCGCGAGCAAGGTGCAGTCCGCTAATCTTGATGTATGCCTTGCTCAAGTTTTTTCGATGTAGTTTTCAAACTATTTATTGACAAAAATAAACAAATTAACAGAGGAAAATCAGTTTGTACGTTATCAACAACTCTTTCGGTTTTTATGCGATTTTTTTTTTTTTCGTTTTTGAATGCGAAGGCCCGCTTGTTCAACTCGGAAGACACCGGCTACGACGTTCTTGTGGCAAGCGATGCTGTCGGCATGGGTCTCAACCTGAACATCCGAAGGTGACCAAACGACCATGAGACGGCGATACGATGCATGCAGCAGGCGTACGTATCCCAGTTTTTTTTTTGTTTAAAGAAAATGCCGCGTGCGTGTTACGGCGGCTGCCTATGGTCTAGCCCCGCCTGGTGCATCGAAATATGCACCCCAAACTGGCGGAAGAGTAAGAAAAAGCCAAGGTGATGTGAAAAAAGGACGGTTCCGGAGGGCATCGAACCCTCGACCTCGCGATTAACAGTCGCACGCTCTGCCACTGAGCTACGGAACCTTTGCGGGACACTATGGAACACATGCAGAATTTTCACTTTTTCAATCAGGGAAGATGGGATGTCACGGATGTATGGAACCGCTACGTCCGCCCTTCCTACTACTCGCTTCTTGAAAAGACTTAAGGTCATCGCCAGGAACTAGGGGGACATCGGCAGGACACTCACCGTAATATAGAAACTCAATATTCCGCCGACACAGCATGGAATCATGTAGGGGTTCCGTAGCTCAGTGGCAGAGCGTGCGACTGTTAATCGCGAGGTCGAGGGTTCGATGCCCTCCGGAACCGTCCTTTTGTCTGTTTTTTGCCGAAGCGCCGGAGAAGTCCTTTTTCAAAAAAACAACCCGTTTCGATTTCTGCATCACCTTGTTAAGAGTTAGTAACGAGGTTCTGAGGGTTCGATACCCTCCGGAAACCGAGCAAGGAGGGTGTTTCTTCCCCTGTTTATTGTTCCTCCGTGTCATTTGCTGAATGGAATCCCCAAACTTTTGAGTCTCCTGGTCATGTCTGATGATTTTGCTTTCTCCCCTCTGACACCACGCCCCCCCTCCAAGAGGCCCGGCAGGCTGCAATCCTGAAATCGAAGCCGAACTGCTACCTCCCCCAGTGCTCATATCCCAGTGTGGTTTATATAGGGCAAAGTTTTGGGGTACCACTCGGGGTTGGCAATAAAATGTCACCGGATTCAAGTACATAGGATTTACAAGGCGCGCCTCCTGAGTGGGCTCATCAGAGCAAATATGCATAGTAGTACAGCTACTAGTGCCATCTAGACGTGATGCAGGATGGAAGAAAGTAAAGCATGTGTTGGGGTGAACCAGCTGCCAGCTGCCAATCAGTAACGTTTCCCAAGCTCGAAAGCTCACAAAAGATAACGTGTTTTTGGCTCCAAGAGCCCAGCGAACCTGAACGAACCAACAAGAACAATGTTCTTTATGTATCTGTGCCCACTTTCTCAAGTATTAGTATCCCCCCCTCCGATGTAGACATTTTGACTGTTATTCAAGCGTGAGGTACAAAAATATAGAAGTCTTGGGTTGCAGCCCGCGGTCCTCGCCAGCCCTTGTTGCTTCTATTCTACGTTCCTCCTATGCATAAGAGATGCTCTGTTTGTTTTGTCTTGAGCGGCTGATCCGTCGGTGTCCGTAGCGAACGGTAGCGACTTGTTTGTGTTGATCAATCGTCTCATTGCACCATCAACAACAACAGCAACAACGATGAAAGGGCCATCAACAACAATGACAACAATAACAAAAATTCTTGCTGACACATGTATCCACCCTGCTCATACAAGCCGAAATCAAACCATTAGACTAGTCAGGGCTGACTAGTCTAATAGTGTGATTTCGGCTTCTGTATGCTACTACAACGTACACGTTATTGATGTTGATGTCCACTGTGCTCGACGGGGGCCTCACCTCCCTTTTCGGAACTACGCTGAACGAGGAGCCAGCGGCTGAAGCACCCCGGCCCATCTGGTGTCCTCCTCATGCATACACCAGCACGATATTTTCTAGAAAATGCTTGAGAAATACCACCCGTTCGAGGTACCCCATAACCATAATCGAAAGGGATGTGCTGAGCTCTTTTCAGTGAGTGGAGGGAAACCGGGCTTATTTTTTTGTGTAAATAGCAGATTAAACCTTCGGTGTGAGAAAAACAACGTCCACTGTGGTGCTGCGATTCTTCCGGCATGCGTTCATCCCGTTTTTTTTGTCGTGACCTCCCGGTTGGCACCCGGTGAACAAAAACCCGTTGCTGACGAAACCATTCGCTGGCGTGACTGCTAACACGATCCGCTGACGTCACTGCTGACTCGATCGGCACCGCGAACAGGGTCGTGTTTCACGCTGTTTCTAAGCGGACCGGCGGTGGGAGAGCCGCCGTCAAGCTGCCCCCGACCATGCTCAAGCAGATTGGTGAGTGAGCTTAAAAGTGTGTCGACGTATGCGTATGTTTGACTGTGTGTGCCTCTGTTGTAGGACATATGCACGGTGGGTAAGGGCGTTACATCTGATCCATGTCACGTTGTCAATTATTGGGCGACCCTCCACCTTCTCTGCAATGCGGTGTCGACAACACGTATATACTGTTGAGCGTTCCTTCTGAAACGAGTCATGTTTATCAGTTTTTGCGCGATCCTCTGTTTTCTCCGCAATACAGTACGGTGTCAATACAGCACGGCGTCAACAACACCTACTGCTGTTTGTTGGGCGTTCCGTCCATTCCAACTCAAGTTGTCAAATTTTGCTCGACCCTCTGTATTGCCCGCAATGCGCTGTGAATGTGTGAATTGCACCAACAGGGGGGCGTGCTGGTCGACACGGCAAGCAGTGGGAGTACGGCGAGGTGACTTGCCTTAGG